CCACGTCTCAAAGCAGCCAGGAGCAGAATTCCCACCAGAAAAAGGCAGATATCATCTCTATGTCTCATATGCCTGCCCTTGGGGTTAGTACTATCTCATTCACACCCTGCGACATCCGCATATGCTGAGCTAGTATTCAGCTCATCGTACGCTTATTGTTCGCAGCCTGAAGGGTCTTGATGATATTATCCCATATACTTCGGTCCATTGGGAGATGCTGGAAAAAGGTATTTATTCTCTCACTCCTTTGGAGGCAACCTCTGGTTATTGACCGTTGTAAGGATGGCGCTTTGCAACTCCAGAAGAGAAGATTCCGGGAGACAATGTCACACCGGACCCTATACACAAGAACTCCACCCATCTTCGAAATGTTTACTTCGACGTTGATCCCGACTACACAGGGCGTTTCACTGTACCAACACTTTATGATATCAAACAAAACAAGATAGTCAGCAATGAGGTTCGTTTTCATCTCTTCTGAACATGAATATAGAAGAACTTATCATGTCCACGTTCAGTCCAGCGAAATCATCCGCATGTTCTACACAGAATTCGATGACATCATCCACGACAAGTATAGGAGCGTTGACCTTTTCCCGGAGAAGCTGAGGGCAGAGATTGAAGGGACAAATGACTGGACGTATAATGATATCAACAATGGGGTCTACAAATCTGGCTTTGCTACGTACGCTCGTTTCCCTTTCCGCGCGTTCACATGCTCCCGATTGCAAGACTTCCGGCCACTGGCTTACGACCTCTAGAACGCAAGAAGCTTATGAAAAGGCCGTCAAACCCCTTTTCGCCTCCCTCGACCGCGCCGAAGCTCACCTTGCTGAACACGCTGCTCCCTACTACTTTGGTACCAACATCACCGAAGCAGACGTTCGCCTCTACACCACCATCGTTCGCTTCGACCCCGTCTATGTGCAGCATTTCAAGTGCAACATTCGTGACATCAGATCGGGTTATCCTTCGCTGCACAAGTGGCTGAGGAAGCTCTACTGGGACGTGCCGGCGTTCAAGAACACGACGCAGTTTGAGCATATCAAAAATCACTACACAAAGAGTCACAAGCAGATAAACCCCTTCGTAAGAGTCCTGGCCTCCTTTCTATGCTGCACACCGACCTCGGCCTGCAATTACTGACGTATACAAATCAATACAGAGTATCACACCAGTAGGGCCGCTTCCAGACATCTTACCCAAAGACCAAGAGGTGCCGGCTGCGGCTGCGGCGCTTCGGTCGACAAACCAATGACTCGGCTACCCTGGCAGGTAGTGCAAGCCTCAAGGGAAGATTTGATCCAGAATTTGCAAACTTCATCCGGTTTTGATTTCATGGTCATCGATGTAAATACATGCGATGGCGAGGCTCAGATAACAGTGAAGAAGTGGGTGAGCCTCTTGATGATTGGCTCCGTACACATCCTAGGGAATTCATTAAAATGGTTGATCAGAACGGGCGTTCCTCAATCTGTGTAAAAAGGCGTCTGGTAACAAGTCTATAATAGTCATTTTCCATCTCGCAAATCCTCATGTCGCCTCGGGCGCTCAGATCAGAGTGGATGTATGCATGCGTATGTGTATGCTTTCCAAGCAACTCTTCTCTTTCCACCGATGAAAGTTGATATTCATATAGACATTATGATCTACACTATCCAGTATGCGATCTATGCATGAGGAGCGAATCCAATCCGCATCGCACCAGCATCGAAGACGACGAACTGTGAGGCAAACATGATATCGCCAAGTACATTTAGCCCATGACCGAGATTTGATTGAATGCCTCCGTAACAGTCTAGTGCAATTTAATGGTCAGTACAGTCTGAAAGACGACGGGCTGACCAGCGGGTAAAGCTCACCTGAAGTTCCCGGTACTGATGTGTAATTCAGGAGGCTTCCTGGTATCGTAGCCATAGACTTTCCAATGCCGAAGCTGAAATCAGGGAGCGCTGTATCGCACGGAAATATCTTCCCCTGTTGATCGTCCGTGCTGGTTGGGACTTTCGCGTAGTAGTTGTTTACGATAGCTGGGTCCAGCATCAGGAGCGACGAGCCTGTGTCCGCGATCGCAGGACTTGCAACGCCTCCATATAAATCATCGGCAACGGCGTACTGGCTAAGATCGAACTGCCAAAGACCACCAGAGCTGTTGACCGCGGTGTATGTAAGGGGGGGCTGGTAGGCTGAAGCATCGATTGTGCCAAACTCGTATTGGCCTGGGATTCCAGCCTTTAGATTGGCGGTAAAAACCTTTTCCTTGAGCTTGGATGCTGCGTTTTCGAAGAAGGTTGGCATTGGCGATGGCCTGATGCTGCTACCAAATTGCGAAAACCCCAAACCAACGATGCCGTCCGAGTTGATGTCACCGCTGAATTGCGAACTGACAGTGCTCGGCAGTTCCACCGCTTGGCCCACCACAGTGATGGTTCCTATCCGCACGGTATCATTGCCCACGACTCCGCTTGTGCTTGAATTATCCCCGTATGCAACGTCAAACCAGGCGCCTGGAATGCTATTGAAAGATTTAGAGTCAGATGGGCTGTAGATGGCCTCGTGGCGTGTCTGATCAGCGGCTGGCAAAGCCGTGTTGAGAACCCAACTGTGCAGAGCATTAGTCAATCCAACAAAAGAGGGGACTCCACGAATGGATGAGATAGGTACATACAAATCCGCAGAGCCCGTATCAAGGTCCATGTTAAACGTCTGCCCTCCGATTTGGACGGGGCACAAATACTCGGTATTGGATCCATAGACCTTCGCGGTGACTGTTCCAGCACCCGTGCCACCTCCTCCAACGGCGACATCTTCCTTGATTGTTGAATGTACCGGGTTGGCGACGACATCTGCGTGAAATACAACGGCCGCGGTTAAGCCTTCCGGAGGCGTCCAATTGCGTCTTCGATATGCCTTCTCCAGTACCATCACACCATCCTTGGGTCCCGAACCAATAGCCTGGCGATGGACTTTGTAGGAGTTCCCGTGGGCTTTGGAGGGAGCGGCAGATATGGATACCAGTAAGACGGTGAAGCAGAGCAGCGTTGAGCTCGTTAGGTGATGCATGATGCAAGGGCGCTGACTGGCAGGCGTGGGGAATGTTCTGAGGCCACGTCAAGTGGACTTGTTTGGATGGTGTTGTGTAGAGCGGACGAAAGAGACCGGCGCTTTCGTGGTGGACTGCTGAGATTATGTGTAAAAACGAAGAGAATGATGTTGGGTGCAGAAGATGCAAGGCTAGATTGAGGCTCGACCAACAAGGAAAGGTTTTTGATATGGATTAATAAGGGATAGAGAAGGAGTGTGGGGGCTGGGGTCGGAGAGGAGGGGAAGTATAAGCAAGGACAAAAGAATGAGTCCGTGTGGTCAAGTTGGTCGGCACGAATCAATCAATGAATGGGAAAGGAAAGTAACGAGGGACTGAAGTGAAAAGACGGACTTATAAGGTAGGGTAGAAGTGAAAAGACGGACTTATCAGGTAGGGTAGAAGAAAAGAGACAGAGAAGAGAGTGTTGCGGATAGGAAAGGTTGAGTGGGCATGGCGGCAATGGCGCCCATGTTGATTAAGGTAAAGTAATTAAAGTAAGTAAAAGTAGCGATCGGTAGCAGAGTTGACTCAGTATCCATCATTGGGGCGCGAAGTAAGATAGAATGGCCCGTGCAATGCTCTTCAATCAAAGCAGGGAGAGAGGGGACGCACGAACGTGTGGGCGTGGGTGGTATCGCCATCGATACGGTACCTTACCTTAATCTTTCGAAATTCGGCCAGCCTCTGAAACCTTAGCGGTCCTCGGGTGCATGGGCCTCGGCCGCTTGAGGAACTTCTAAAGTAAAGTAAGCTTCTGAAAATGATGCACGGCGTCGAAGACTCAGGGGTCAACGAATCACATGGCTGCCACGCTCCTGACTTCGGCTTTCTCCACCATTTATCCGCCCCTAAAAAAGAGCTTAATCAAGCCTGAAATAGCATGTTCTTTTGAGTGGTCCTCATGCTTCATCACTCAGCACTAGGTACTACATGTTTCATCTGAACAAATCCCAGACCCCGAACACGTACTCGTAATCACCTGAACAGTCTCTCCACCATGCTCAATGAAACAGCCGCCACTCATGGCGTCCGAGTCGTCGTCCGAGTCGGCGTCAGTCTGACAATTATAAGGCTTCTGGTGGCTTGAAGTTGCCCCCGGGGATCTGTTTTACTATCTTTGGGGCGTATGACTATTTTATTGAGGGAGAACGCGTGTTTCCAGACCCTGGTGGGGAAAGATATCGCCAAGCTCACATATGTGGTGGTGCGCCACGATCAAGACGTCGAGAGGCATGAGGTCTGGAATTGTGTGCAACCTCAGCACGTTCGAAAATGGACCCATGTATTGAGATACTCTACCAAATGCACTTGACCGCTTGATTCTTGCTCTGCAAGCTTCCAGTGATACTCGAGACTTTGAAGACTTGTCTTTGGTGAAAAATTCAAGCACGCTGTATGGTATAAAGACTCCACACCGTGCTGTCTACAGGACCGAGATTCTCGAATCCTCCGGTGTCATGTCGTAGACATACCTCTGATCATTCATCTCTTGCATCCTTCTCTGTAGTTCATAATCTCAATTACACATCATTTCTATGAAAGTATGATATGGCTCGGGTACTAGTTATGATTTCGAACCAGCCTCCCGCATATGTATAAGGCTTGATACACATTCGAGGACAAATAAAGCCTTTGTCTGAAGGAATCGAGATTACCTACTACTCTACATGCAATGACGAAGACCTTGTCATCTCTTACGGTCGAGTCTTCCCACAACAATCTCTAACATAAACAATAGGCTAAGTATGTTCTTGGATTTTCATGTACAGAAGCGAACGGCCTGGAAAACCTTATTTTGAACGATGCAAACGCTTGAACGCTGAGCCATTAGCTTTTGAGGCTAATACTGAGCTTGGAACAATGAGAACACCTGGGGGTGATAATGGGGCTGCAATGGACTGCAGTGGGCAGCGTGTCATGCTCTGCCAGGTCCTCCACCAGCTCGCGGCGCTGGACTGCCCTGAACCGCTGGATTTCTCTTGGGGCTCTTTCTCTTTGTCGCTTTTGGAGTCGAGAATCCATGAGCTCCCGCAAATCCATGCTCGCCCTTTCCTGGCGGCTCCTCTCCGATTACCATAGGCCATGATTGTCCGGTGAGACGAGCGCCTTCCTCCAACTCAGGTGGATGGACCCATGTCTGCTCCGTCTTTTCATATCCCTCGGGACTCATGTATTTTACAGCATCACCTTCTCGACCAGGAAAACTTCGGGCAGTGAATTGCGTCGTTCCAGGAGGTGCAGCTTGGTCCGACGGAATTTTGGACGCCGTTTCTGCAATAACCCAATTGCTGGCTCTGCCGGGTACCTCTTGTGCACTGATTTCCACGAGTCCACCACCTTCGACGGGCAAAAAATGTCGCGGAGGAAGCACTTCCACGTCCACTATTGGCTGAACCCGGTGGTAAACATCATGAGTGTGTATCTCGCGGGTAATGACCTCCTCACGAACATGATGAACAGCTCTATGAACCTTTTCGTGGACGACGGCTAAATGAATAACAAGTTAGTGTTATTTCTCAGTGGTTGACAATTCGAGAGTGGAACTGACCTAGTGCCACAGTCTCAACGACTTGAGTGTCGTAAGTATGATTCTTTGCTCGATCTACGACATCGTGAGCGTCCCGTAGGCCAGCTTGGCTTGTGGAAATTGGTCTTGATCTGTTGAGGATGTTGGACGGCTGAGGAGCAGAATCCGTCTGGCGATCAGTGTACCCACGGCTTGCAGCCGCTGGTGTAGATGGTAGAGGTTTGGGAGCACTCTGCTGTCGGCTATAGTCTGTCTGGGCACTCGGAGGTGATGAGGCCTGGACAGATGAGTACGGTGCATTCGCAGACGTGCCTATTTGTTTTCTAGGAATCGAATTCTGTCGTGCTAGACCTGTGTCATCTTCATCTTGCAGATTCGGAGAGCCGTAGGCATTGGATCGTGGATTTGACGATGAATTCCCTCGATATGGTTGAGACATTGAAACTTTCTGAGCGTTCCCTTCGTTAACAGGTCTAATACCAGCAGCGTTGTTTCGAGGAGCGTATTCTCGATTTTGGGAAGTAGCGCTGTTTCGAGGAGCGTACTCTTGGTGTTGAGGAGTGGTGTTGTTGTTGCGAGGAGCATATTCTTGGCGTTGAGGAGTGGCATTGTTCCCGGGAGCATACTCTTGATGTTGAAGGGCGGCATTGTTCCGGGAAGAGTATCCTTGTTCTTGAGGAATGTCCCTGGGAGCATATCCTTGGTTTTGAGGAGTGCCTCTGTTCGCATTGTATCCTTGGTGGGGCGTACGTGTGGTCGTCACGGTCTGCGTTACCGTCGTTGGAGCTATCTAGAGGTCAATACTTTGTTACACATTCTTACATCCATCACAAGGTCTAACATTCTACATTACCCAGATTCAAACCAGAAAGGTCTTGTGGAATATCACGCCTGCGCCTTTCTTCTTGACCTCCCATGGGCATTGCTGAGCTCTGTTGGTAAGGATCGTTGGACCGAGCTACAACTGGTGGTGGGGTCATATGAGGAGCGCGGTTCGATGCTTCGTACTGATTTGGGGTAGATGATCGATAGGGTAGGTTATGAGGGGTGCCCGAATTACGGCGGCTGCGCGAAACGGACGATTTGCGCCCTTGCTGTAATATGACTGAGCTGTCGTTTCCTTTGACGGGGTAATCTCCGGTCTGCGGAAGCTCGCCCGGCTCTGTTGACTCGTAACGGGAGGTACGAAGAGCTGGGTCACTCCTGTCGGAATTCGGTGCTCGAGTACGCTGAGGTGGTTGTTCAGTATCGCTGTCCTTCTTACGATGAAATAGCTTTTTCATACGAGACGCCATGGCTGTTTTCAACAAGACAACAACCGTTAACTTTCAAGCTGGGAAGGCCAACGTTGCTGATTTTAGCACAGCAAGAGACTGAGTTGCTGGCCAGTGAATTGAAATCTCGTTCTTCAGAGAGGGGATTCTACTTTTCGTACAGGGTAGAAAATTCGAAACTCTTGGAAAATAGGTGGAACTCTAAACTAATGGAGGTAGCTTCCATGAGCTCTAGTAATGTATATAGCACGAGATGTGCGTCATCAAAGTCTCCAGCCCACAGTCTCTCCATCCGCATCGTTCGAGTTGCTCAGCCAGGTTTGGCGATCCGATTCCGATAGATATTATTGATATTGTGGAACATGTCCCCGTAGACCATTTTCCTGCACAAACCGCCAGCATGAGAGGGACGTCTCTGAGCACTATGATGTAGGAAATAGGTCTAGGAAGTCTAGAAGAGGCTGGATGAAAGATGTGCCATGGCGATGCAAGATCTACATGTTATTGTAGAATGGAAAGCAAAAAGAGCCCGGACGCCACTTCTTCTTCGAGCGTAATCTTGGGGCAGAGAATTTGGGCTTTGGCTGGTTACGGCGTCGTAAAGTTGAAGTGCAGCCAATAGGACACTGCTTAAACAGGCAGTGACGTTGTTAAGTTCCCGAAGTCAAGCCACTGGCCACTGGTGCTTCGGGGCTTGGCACTTGCATTGCTTGTTGCAAGTCCAAGTCCAAAGCAGGGAACAGGTCGATCAATGATGTAACTGTAAGGTAGTCCAGCGGCGCTAATTCACCCCCACCACAAACGCCTAAAGCCTACATATCACACCTGCTTTCTTCCATTCTCCCCATTTCAACAACACCACTTCCTTCCCTGTACACGAACAATCATTTTCAAATACCAACCTCCTCCTACAAACTTCATACCAATCTCACAACAAAACAAGATCAACCGTTTCAAAATGGATAAAGCAAAGGCAGCGGTCAGCGATTTCATGTAAGTATCAACATTGACTGCCATGGCTTACTGCCACCAGTCTTCTGATCCGTCTTCCCTTGATGCCTTTGTGCAAGCACTAGAAGACTCTCAGTCTGTCTGCCATTACCCACGTTGAAATCCATCGACGTTGTCATCACTTGCCTTAGTAGACTCTGCTGATCATATATTACTTACTCAGGCAGAAGGCTGGTCACCATGATACCACAGTTCATGAGAAGGTCGCCCCCGCCGTTGTGAACGAGCAAGTGATTAAGCAGCGTCATGAGGAGGCTCAGACTGCCATTGACCGCGAGGTGCACCAAGACCATTACCACACCTCTGTCCAGCCAGTCAAGGATCGTGAGATTCTCCCTGAACAACACCATCACCGCATGGCCGCTGTCGAGGAGCGTGAGCTCCAACACGGCGATTCCAACGCCATCAAGGCTCGTCTCGAAGAAGAGCGCATGCAATTCCAGAATACCCGCACTGAAGCAGGTACCAAGGAGACCCACTCCGTTGCACCAGTCATTGCCGGCGAGCACGTGCACCATCATGTTCATGAGGTCATTACTCCCCCATTAATTTCAGAGGGAAATTACTAATACATCCTTCAGACCATTCAGCCAATTGTTCAAAAGGAGACTATCCAGCCATCGGTTGTCCACACCACTGTTCCCATACACGAAGTCCATCAGAACGAGGCCAAGCACCACGCCGCGTCTGCTCTACCCGCCGTCAGTATGGCTGACTTCAAGAAGCAAGGTGGAAGCTTAACTGGCCGTGAAGAGCGCTACGATGGATTCGAGGGTGAACCAAGAGCCGTTGGCGGTGCTCTGGGAGGAGGTTCGGCGACTACTGGTACATCAAGCTACGATAACACCGGCCTTGACAGCTCTCGTGGTACCAGCGGCTATGATAACACCGGCACAAGCGGATACGACAACACCAACACGACCGGAAAGAAGCCAGGACTCATGTAAGGACGAATCCTAGTCTTATCTTATAATCCAAGTGCTAACTTTATGTAGGGACAAACTCAACCCGTAGGTGCACTCTAAGTTGCCTCTCCCCAGTCTGACAAGTCGAGATAGCTGACCTTGCACTTTCAAATCACAGGATGAAAGACTCTGACGGAGACGGCAAGCGTGGTGTGGGCAACTAGATCGATCCGAGAGGGTGAGGATTCATTGACCATCGATGAACGACGATACCTTGACGTGCACATGAAGTGCTAGGAAATCGAGGTTATCCGATTGGGTATGCATCAGTACCTTTGCGCCCATGCTGTATTCATAGGAATGATACCATCAGAAGATTAGCAAATGCATCACCTCTACAGCATTGGGTGTCTTCATCAATTCAATGCATGCGAGCCTTTGCCCTGATGTTGAAAGAGTCTTAATGGGTGTGTGTTACCTTCAAAGATTCGAGTGTGAACACCAGATTCTCAGGTCCCCAAATGAACAGCGTTCCACCTGAAAAACATCTAGATATCATATGAAACCTTCTTGCCCCCATTTGTTTATAAGGCAGATTATTCAAAAGTACCCCCCTCACTTTCTTGCACCTCCTGTGATAGGGTTCGAATGCTGTATCTACCCCTATAGCCATTTTGGAAAATTATATTTGAATGTCCGGCGTGACAAAATAGCTTCTGAGTTCTGATAAGATTAGCGTCTCCAGACACTCACTACTCTTGCTCTACGCTGACGGCTTTCAGATTCTGGCATACCTTGATGTATGCTATACCGGCAAGCAGAGACCTCAAACATTTCACAGCATTGGCCGACATTATAGACTATATACAGAAGGCATAGATAGGCCTCCAAAGCAATGTTCTCACATTATTGTGCGTACAAACCGCCTATAACGCTGAACTTCGCCTTTACTCGGAAAAGCACTGAGACCGTCACTGCATAAATATCGTAGGGATCAACCAAGCTTACTACTCTAAACTTAATATCTCATTACCCTCTCAAATATCAATGGACCCATCACCTCCTGATTTTGCCATTTATTTCTTCCCGAAGAAGCTCATGATATTGCCCTGCCCGGGTTTCCCACCGGACATCTTGCCCTTCCCCATTGACGATGTTGCAGTGGATGCAGGAGTCTTTTGTTTGTGCGGAGGAAGTTCGTCCTCGGAAAAGGATTCCCAGGCTGGCTCCTCTTTTGTCACTAAAAGGAGACCATATTAGCATTAATCTCCCAACCTGTATCAACTGATTAAAAGTACAGACCCAAATAACCCTCATTGTCTTTGATTGTCTTCTTTTTCATGACCTTCCGTCTACCTCGCCTGCGCCCTCCAGTCACGACAATAGGAGGTTCAGGAGAAACATCTTTTTGTGAGGTGGGACCGTCTACAGGTTCTGATTCCTGAGAGGTTTGTGGAGCATCCTCCCCCGCGGCTTCCATCTCTTCGTCTACGTACCCCGTCAGTCGCAAGGTCAATACCGTATCATGCGCCGATTTCCTTACCTTCATCTTCCATCATCTTCCGAAGCTGTTCCGCCCGCTCAGATTGTGATTTTGATGTTCTTCGATTCGCACTGTTGGAGACCACGAAGTCCTCCTCCTGTTCATCCTCAGAAGCATCTTTCATTGGTTCTGCGAGGATTAATCAGAGAAGGAACTTGAATCTCAAGCCTGCCCTTACCATCTTCTTGCACGCTCTTAAATTCCTGCTATGCTCTGTTAGAAAGCCAAGTGCAATCAAACGGCCAAACAATGCTCACCGAGTGTGCTGTGCTAGGAACAGGGAATGCACCAGTCGGGCTACCAGCATCCTCGTGCTTTAATTTTGCCTTGGGCTTGGAAAAGGATTTGAATATGTCAGACTGCTCCCTCTTCGCCGCGGCTGGCTTGCTGACTGGCTTCTTCTCGACATCTCTAGGTCGCTCCGCCCTGATATCTGGGGCGAATGCAGCTTGAGATGTCGATTTAGTCGACTTGTCACTTGGCGGAGGTCGATCGGACGGCTTGACAGCGTTCTTTTGCTCTCTATTGAGGCCTTGGCTTTTGCTACTGGCTTTCTCGTTGACCGTCTCTGTAGGGACTGGTTGGGCTCCAATAGGTGGTCGTCTCCCCGTCCTCCGCTACAAACTCCATTGTCAGGTAGTAGAAGGATTCAATGGGGGAAGCGGATCCTACCTTCACACCTGTATTATGAATGACTCCATATTTCTCTCCAAATACTAATGGGTCCTCATTCGCATATTCCACGGATATCGCTCTGTTGCAGTCTGACAGAATTTGGAGATTCTATCATAATTGGCATTGTCCGGAAACGAAAGCAAAGCTTCGTCGGCTTACCTGTACCCTGCTTGGCCCCAAGCTGTAAATATGTATGGAGTGTATTTGCCTGTATTTTGCTTTGGCCGCTAACAGCTTTCTCAGCAACGGACAGTTCGGAGGCCGCAAAGTAGACCAAGCCCACAAAACGTATGCCCATCTTACCTTCAAGATCTTCTTCCTTTGCCAGAGTTATGCTCCTCGATGGAACTGCCTCCTCTTGTTCCTCTTGATGTGGCATTGAGCTGCTCATGTACGGACTACTCTGCATGTGAATGTCTTCTCCATCTTGTTGATGCCCATTGACGCCGAATTCCTTCGGACCTTTGGGAACGCCGTCCAGGAGGTAGGTTGCCTTGATCGACGATGGCTTTTTAGTCGTCTGGGTAGAATAGAATTCGTAGAGCATTCTGATAGAGAGATCAGCCAGTCCTTTCAACTGCGCTTGATCTCTCCGCACTTCTTCGCAACATTGCTATGCACTTTTAATTCTCGGCCCAGAGATCGGTAGGATACCTGACAAAAATATATCAACGAGAGCATCACCGGACTCAACGCTGGCATTTGGAACCCACTATTTTCCCATCATTCAATACACTGGCCGCAAGGAAGGTTTTAGAATGCTGAGACATTTCGCCCGAGCCTCAAAAAGTGATACACCAGAAACCTCTCCGTTCCCTCCGCATACAAAGTACCCAATCAATTCAAGGAACCGCTATAATAGAGCAATCGATAAGGACGGAGTGAAT